CAGAGAAGAGGCTTTTTCTGTCTGCCTTTTCAAAATTTATTGAGACTGAATTTGTGACTTAACTACATTTGTTGTGAAAAATGTCTCACACACTTAAAGGGGAATGTACATTTTGTTGTTCAGAGATTGTTGTGTGCATATCTGTTAAATATAATTGATTTATTGTGATGTTACACACTTCATTTTTCTCTTTTTTTGGGGGGAGGGGTGGGGGATGAGACAGAGTCTGGCTCTATTCCCCAGGCTGGAGTGCAGTCGTGTGATCTTGGCTCACTGCAACCTCTGCCTCCCAGGTTCAAACAATTCTCCTGCCTCAGCCTCCAAAGTAGCTAGGATTACAAGCGCCTGCCACCTCACCCGGTTAATTTTTGTGTTTTTAGTAGAGATAGGGTTTTGCCATGTTGGCCAGGCTGGTCTCAAACTCCTGACCTTGTGATCCACCTGCCGTGGCCTCCCAAAGTGCTGGGATTACAGGCATGAGCCACCACACCTGGCTCACACCTCTGTTTTCTTACTTGTTTCTGGTTATTCTTCCCATCATTGAGAGTAGGTTCTTGGAAGTCTGCATCTCTTAGTGAGGAAATGTCTATTTCTCCCTTCTTTTATGTCAATTTTTGTTTCGTATATTTTGGTGGTTTATTAGGATCATAAACATTGATCATCTTTATCTTGTAATTTTGATTAATGTATGATGTACATTTTTGTTTGTTGTAACATCTTGGATTAACAGTCTGTTTTGTCTGACTTTAACAGTCTACAAAATATCTGCTTCTCTAACACCTTCACTCCTACCCCTTTCAGTTGTTGTTATAAAAATGTATCTTTTAACATATTGTGGATCAAAAAATATTATTTGAAATTCATTTTTTTGTTAAATTGTTTAGAAGATAAATTGTAGAGTTATAATCAAAGTTACAGTAATATTTACTGGTTTTTAGCCTAATGTGTGGTTTTATAATTTATCGATTTCAAGTCATGTAGAATCTTTAAAAAAGGCAAGAGGCTGGACATAGTAGCTCACACCTGTAATACCCGGCACTTTGGGAGGCTATGGGAGGAGGATTGCTAGAGACCAGGAATTTGAGACCAGCCTGTGCAACATAGCAGGAGGCTATCTCTACAAAACAAATTTTAGCAACAACAAATAGCTGGGTGTGGTGGCATATGCCTGTAGTCCCAGATACTCAGGAAGCTGAGATGCAAGGGTCTCTTGATCCCTGGAGGTTGAGGCTACAATGAGCCATGGTGATGCCACTGCATTTCAGCCTGTGCAACAGAATCAGAGCCTGTTTCTCAATGAAAAGCAAGTAGAGGGACACCATTGTTAACCTCTCATAATTGCTCAAATACTTACCTTTAACCACATCTTTATTTCTTCATAGGGCTTCCATTTACTCTTTATTTCAACCTTCAGGAGTCTTTTCAGTGTTTTTGTTTGGTGGGGAAGCAGATCTAATGTTAACAAACTCCTGTTGTTTGTACATCTGGGAAAGTATCAATTTCTCCCTTTTTAAAAAAAATTAACAGTTTTGTTAGATATTAGATTCTTAGTTGAGTGGTTTTTTTTTTGTTTTGTTTTGTTTTTTTTGTTTTGGTTTTTTTAGCACATTGAATGTGTCCACTACCTTCTGGCCTCGTGAGAAATTAACTGATAATCCTTGTTATATGATGCCAGTTTTCTATTGTTGCTTTTCAGAATTCTTTCTATTTTGCTCTTCATAGTTGAAAGATAATGTGTCTCATTGTGGGTCTTTGAGTTAATCTTGCTTGGAGTTTGTTCAGGTTCTTACATGTTAATATTCATATCTTTCATCAGATTTGAGAAGTTTCCGTCTAGAATTTCTTCAGATATTCTTTCTTTTGCATGCTTTGTCTTTTCTGGAAATCCTGCAGTGTGTGTATTGGTTAGCTTGAGTGGTAGACCAGAAGTTGTTTAGACTCTGTGTACCTTTCTTCAATATTTTTTCTTTTTGTTCCTCAGAACTGATACATTTCTGAAGTTTGCTGATCCTTTTTGTTGCCTGCTGAGATAATGCATTGGAATCCCTCTAGAAAATTTTTCATTTCAGTTAATTGAACGTTTCATGTTCCAGAATTTCATTTTGTGTTCCTTTGTGAAATTTTTTTGTCTCATTATTCCATTTTGCTCGTGCATCATTTTCTTAACCTTCTCCATCACTTCCTTTAGTTCTTTGAGCAACTTTAAGATAGTTGTTTTAGCTGCTTACCTGTCTTAACATCTTTGAGATTAGAAGTGGTAAACTGATGAGAGCACAGCCTCTCAGTGTTTGTATATCAGAGTGGTGTGTTTTGTTTTTTGTTTATTCCTACCCTCACTCCTTCTGCAAGCTGTATGTAAGTTGTTCCAGAAATGTGCACAGCTACCTTGTGTGAGGCTGTAGGAGTTAGGGCTAGGTAATTTGTACTTTGCTAAGAGTTGATGTTGAGTGAAATTAACCTGAATAAACCTGAATTTAGAGGTTAATACAATCCTCCAGAGTTCCATACCAGTTATACCGATTATTCTGGTGTATTTGTCATCTCAGGGGGAGAAAGAGTTCTGGTGCATCTTGCTCTGCCATCCTCCCAGAACCCTCAGCTCACCAGTTTTTTTTGTTTGGATACAATTTCTCATTCTGTCCCCAGGCTGTAGTGCAGTGGCACTGTCATAGCTCACTGCAGCCTTGACTTTTTGGGCCCAAGGGACCCTCCTGCCTCAGCCTTCTGAGTAGCTGGGACTACAGACATGCCTGGATAATTTTTCTTTTCTGAAGAGATGGGGTCTCACTATATTGCCTAGCCTCATCTTGGACTCCTGGACTCAAGGAGTCCCCCAGTCTCAGCCTCACAAAGTCCTGGGATTCTAGGCGTGAGCCACTCTGCCCAGCTTGTTTTACAGTAGTCAAATGAATCTGCCCACTTTCTGATTATCAATAAAAGTTGTGTTCTATAATTTTGTTACTTTTCAATTGTGATGGATTATGCATGACATAAATTTTGCCATATTAACCAGATTTAATTATATTACTCGTTAGCATTAAATGTGCACTCACAGTGTTGTGTAACTAGCACCATTTTCAGAACTTTTGTCATCTTAATTGGAAACTGTATACCTGTTACTCTAATCCCTAGTCCCTTGTCTCCCCAATCATGTTTTCTGCATTTGATTTTGCCTATTGTAGGTATTTCATGTTTTTTGGTTCCTGGCATATTTCACCTAATGCTTTCAAGTTTCATGTAATACATGAGAACTTCATTTCTTATTATGACTGAGTAAATTCATCTTGTGTATGTATATGTGTGTGTATAAGTGTATGTGTGTGTATACAAATATAACACCACATTTTTTATCCATCTGCTAATGGACACAATTTTGAATCTATTCCTCTGCTAATGGCCATTTTATATGCCCGTGCTCACCAAAACATTCACAGTGTCCATTAAGAGATGAATACATTTAAAAATACGTCCATTAGTATTTGAGCGTTGGCATACAAATATCTGGGTTCATGTCTTCATATCTGAGTATGTATATAGGGGAATGAAATTGCTGAGTTATTTGGTAATTTCATGAACTTGCTTTTTGAGGAAATATTTGTTATTTATTATAAGAAATTGAAGTCACCAGAAATGAGAACTGAATAATGTACCTTCCATTATCTAGCAACTAGAATTAATAACTATCAACATTTTTCCCTATTTTGAAAATTACAGTTACCATGGTGATTTAATCCTGAATAGGTTTATATTTTTATGTATCAATTTTCAAAATAATTGCAATATCCTATCTCTACCTAGTAAAATTTACTAAAATCCCTATGTGCCTTCTAAACACACAAAGAAAACAATCCTCATTTAAATTTCTCAAGGTTGTGCATGGTGTCTCAAGCCTGCAATCATAGCATTTTTGGAGGCCAAGGCATTTTGCTTGAGCCCAGGAGTTCCAGATGAGCATTGACAACTAGTGAAACCTGTCTTCACAGAAAAAAGAAAAAAAAATTAGGTGTGGTGGCATGCACTTGTGAACCCAATTATTTCAGAAGCTGAAGCAGGAGGATCACTTAAGCATTGAGCTACAATCACAACACTGAACTCCAGGCTGGGTATTCTAGTGGATTTCTTATTTCTTATTTGCTGGTTTTTTTGAGGGGGGGATTGATTCAACCCTTTATTTTTAGTATACTGAAGGAATTGGTGAGCTACTATGGTCCAAAATATATATTGTGTATACACCATATGTAGTCTGAATTCTTGTATGACAAAGTACAGTCCATATTTGTAAGGGGTGCTTGGAAAGGTGTATTAGGTATATTACCTTACATGTGTAGATCTTCATAAGTAATAGTTGGCAAGATCTACTATAAACTTGTTACATATTTCTATATTTGTCATATTAGAGACCTTTTTAGTCTTTGATGTTATTTTTCCCATTAATTTGATGTCCTGGCCTGGTCATGCTTTCAGTTTTTCATGAGATCATGCTAACGAGATTTCTTAGAAGTTTTGCAAATATAATCTGATAACATACTTTGATTTTTTGAAAAAAAAGTCATCTCTTACCCAGTAAATATAAACTAATTGCTGGTTTTCTTTTGTAATTTCTTCTCAATGTATTTTATATTAAGGTTTGGAGATACCAATCCTTTTAAGCGTAATCATCATGCTATCTGGTAAAAATTACATTGTACACATGCTAGGATGCCACCCCTGTGGTCATGTTTAGTATTTTTTTCTCAGTGTTTCAGTGTTTTTTTCAAAAAATACTAAACATTGAGATGAAAGGGAAGGTTATCAGAGTATCCCACTTTAGTGATTATAGTGCTCAGCTACTAGCTCCCTACGTGTTAGAACACATTCCCAAATGTCGGCTTGAGCTATATTTTTATGTATTGTTTGTCTGCTTTGTATTAAAGACAAAAGCTCATTATCAATTAGTTGTATGTTTTAAAAAGTTGACCACAACTTTCATCATAAGACCTATCTAAAGAGGAATGCATGATGTGTTAGTACCAAGGAGTAGAGATACAATGAGTGTATTTGTTTTCATGTTCCTTAAGAGGGAATGCACTAGCAATTGAAGGTAAAATAGATACAAATCAAGTAAACCATTATGTTTTCAGTCATTATGTCACTTTGAACAACAATTTGTTTAATCATTTTGCGATAGCTTGTTGCTTGGAACTGTCTTATTTTTAGTGTTCAGTGTATTTATTTATGGGAGTGTATACATATTCCAGGGTGTTCTAGTTCCTCAGGGAAAATCTGGATGGTATAGAAGAATTTTGTTCTTTATTATGAGTCCATTTATAATTTCATCTTTTTTTTAAAAAAAGGCGTTTTTCCTACAGTCAGACATTTTGAGTGTGACTTTTGTTGTGAGAAAAAAAATTGTGAAGACGTTGTAAAGATTGGTAATGAGGAAGGTGACTTGACTGGGTATCACAGACTTACAAAATCTTATATGTGTTTAGAGTTATGTTAATGGCACATTTATAAGCAAAGTAATGTCATGGAATAGAAGACCTGTAAGTTGACATGAGAAACAGAAAGTGTATTAAAGTTATCTGCAATCCTGGGGGTAGATTGTTAGCCAAATGAGTAGGAAATTAGATTCATCTCTCATGGTATGTAGCATGAAGAATTTAAAATGAATCAGAGGTTTAAATTAAAAACTGCAGAAATTATACAGTTTCAGAAAGCAAATGAATGTCTCTCCAATTTTGAGGAAATTACTGATGATACACATTGTAGAAGCAACAAGAAACAAAGATTGATAGTAAAAATGAAATGACAAAGTTGAAAAAGTTAGTTGTGACATCACATAAGAATACCTTTGGTATATGTAAGATATAATATAATTGGGGAAAAATACCAGCTCAAAGGAAAAGTGACTTGAGCACATAGTTCACTAAAAAAATACAAAGTGCTATTAACCATATAAAAGGGTTCTTGGATTTGCTCATAATAAGGATAATGACAATTGAAAATACAGCTAAGATATAATTAGTTTCTCTACTATCAGATTAGCAAGAGTCCAAAGTTTGACAACATTTTTTTTTTGGCAACATGTTGGGAATTATGGAAAATCATACGTTGCTGCTAGTGATATAAAATGTAAAACATATGGGTAGGAATTTAATATTTTGTAAATTTATATCATCTGTGGCAAAAAACGTAATTCATCTTCTAGTAATACGTAGCAGTAAGAATGATTGATGGATGTTTGTATACCACTATGTGATAATGTCTTGGATATAATGTAGAGACAGGGGAGATGTAGGCTACAGAAAGTAAAAATGGTAATATGGTGCTTAGGGTGCTTTCATCATCATAATAGATAACCATGTTTGTTAATGGTGCCCTGGGTAGTAACTGCAATTGTACTGGGTTTTCAACAGAATTTTGTCAAAATGGGATGCTGCATGAGCTAATGAGTTGTGGAATAAATAGGTTTTTATTGTGGAATAATAAGTCAAACAAAGAAGGGGGTTTTGCAGTATCTTAGGAAGAAGAACAGACATTCCGGATAAAGTTCCTTTAATACAAAGATAGCATTTTTAAATACTTGGAGTAGTGAGTGAAGCAGCTTTCTCTACGAGAGCAGGGCAGTTCCCAAATAAATCCCAGCCTCCTCTCTTCTGTTAATTTCTTCGGAAGAACTTGAGGTAGCTTTTGAAGTATTTGTCGAAGGTTGCAAACTCCTCAGGGGGAGGCCAGGCATGGTGCCTCACACCTGTAATCCCAGCACTTTGGGAAGCCGAGGCGGGAGGATCACCTGAGGTCAGCAGGTCAAGGTGAGCCTGGCCAACATGGCGAAACCCCATCTCTATCAAAAATATAAAATTTAGCTGGGTGTGGTGATGCGTGCCTGTAATCCTGGCTACTTGGGAGGCTTGAAGGAGGAGAATCACTTGAACCCAGAAGGCAGAGGTTGCAGTGAGACAAGATCATGCCACTGCACTCCAGCCTGGGTGATAAAATAAGACTCCTTCTGAAAAAAAAAAAAAAAAAAAAAAAAAGGAAACCCGAGATTCTGCTTAACAGTTATAAAGTCAGAAGGTATGAAGATTATTTGAAGTTAGGCCTGTGGACTGGCTGATTGGATCTTCAGTAGTATGAGAAAGTTTAGTTAAGCCAAGGCACTATGTAAAACTCCAAGCTGTACGGAGCTCTGCCTGGCCAGCTGGTTGGCACTTGGGTAATGGGGAATGATAAGTGGTTAATTGCTTCACTGAATGACTGGATTAATGGTAGGATGAATGGATAAATTAACAGATGGGAATGGGTATATAAATGGGTATAAGATCAGGAATAATAATGGAATCACAAGTAGATGATGTGCAAATGGGACTGTATGTGTGGATTGATGGATGGATGGATCTTGAATGCATTTTTGATGAAATTAAGGAACAAGAATAAATATATGAAGTATGGTATACATGTAAGCATGTTTGTGTGTGTGTATGTGGGTGTATAGATTGATGCAAGAGTGGAAGGGGAGTAAGGATAAAAGCTTTGGACAGCTATATTGACAACGCAAAATAAACTGAAGGTGGATGTATGAATGTATGAATTTGATGGATATGTGCCTGAAAGAATGTATGGATAGGTCAGTTTAGGAAAGGATCAGTAATGATTGTAATCATGTAATTCTCACAGTAACTGTTCAACAGTGACTGTTAAGGATGCTGCGTGCTCATGGCAGTAACTCATGGGCCAACGTCACTAAGACTAATGCTTCTTACTGCTTTTATGACAGCATAAGGTTTTATTTTTCACTGTGGCTTTGGTAGAGTTATGGAAAATCATCCATTGTCTCTTAAATACGTAATGATAAATTGGGTAAAGGAATTGGGTAAATCCCATGACTTACCAAAACTTCAGGAGATTTAGGAGCTGTATTTATGCTTTCTCAAGGAAGGGATAAAAAGGACACATTAAACACTGATAATGCTTACTGTAGGATACTTTTGTGGTCTCACAAACTAGGTGTACTTTCTACTTAAATGAAAACTTTATCCCCTTCACAGGGGGAACCAACAAAAACCTCATCCGGGTAAAAATCCAGCGTCTCAGTGATGCTATCTCCCTATCATGAGGTAATTCACAGTAATCTGTACCTCATGTCTCAGTGTACCTACTATTGGCCCAGAGATAGGTGAAACTTAAAGATAATTGTATCTTGGCTGGGCACAATGGCTCATGCCTGTAATCCCAGCACTTTGGGAGGCCGAGGCTGGTAGATCATGAGGTCAGGAGTTCAAGACCAGCCTGGCCAACATGGTGAAACCCGTCTCTACTAAAAATACAAAAAACAGCCCGATGTGGTGTTGTGCGACTGTAATCCCAGCTACCCAGGAAGCTGAGGCAGGAGAATTGTTTGAACCAAGGAGGCAGAGGTTACAGTAAGCTGAGATTGTGTGCCATTGCACTTCTGCCTGGGCAATAGAGTGAGACTCCATCTCAAAAAAAAAAAAAAGATAATTGAATCTCATTTCCCTTTGTACAATGTACAATTAGCAGGGTCAGGGAAACCATAATACACCTCCAAACTCTAAGCTGTCAAATGTGAGAGTAATCACTTTTCCATAGAAATTTTGAAATCCCTCTGGAAATACATTGTGAAGGCTCCCTATACTGGGCTAGAGAGTGTTTTATTAGGTCCTGGAAGATGCTCACTTTTTCCTTGTTTTCCCTGGCTGTAGCTTTTACCTCTGGCACACTTTCCCAATCCCCTTATCCTACTTAATTATTTTTGAGATAGGCATTGTGGAAGATGTTTGACTGTTCATAGAGATGATTACTTTAAGTCTTAAAACAATCAGGGGCTTTTCGTTTCTTTGGAAGTAAAAGTGACCCATTAAAAATGTAAAATGTATCATGGGCACAGGAATTTCATGGCCTATATGTGATTCTACCTTACATCTTACCCATAGTGATTGTAGAACCATGTGTTGATGTGTTATTTCCAAAAGAGGTGAATGCCCTTGGAACAGTGATCTATCATATGGAGCAAAGCTTCCTGGAGAGCCATCATAACAGACCCACAGGAATATTTTCATTAGTGAGAAGTAAATGTGTTAAGCCAGTAAGATTTTGAAGTGGCCACAACTTCAATGTAAGTACAGAGGGAAAATCACACACAATAATTCAGTGATTGGTGGATAGGCGCATTCAAGGAGGCAGGATTGGATTGGTGGTTTCGAGCATGGTTGTAGTAGTAGACAGGCAGACGTGAATTGATGGAAGGATGCAAGACTGGTTAGTGAAATTTTCTTCGTATTATATGGTTATGTGGATTTAATAACTACTCATTGAAATTATATGGGATTGGATATTTAAAGCCCTGAAAGATGAATACATTAATCTTCTAATATAATTTGAGATATAATAACAGATGGATGCATGCAAAATTTGGTATATTGAATAATGTAAGAAATGGATGGAAAGTAGAATATGAGCAGATGACTGGATGCGAGGATGGAGAGTGCAAGTTTTAAAAGCCTGTTGGGGCCGGGTGCGGTGGCCCACACCTGTAATCCCAGCACTTTGGGAGGCTGAGTCGGGCGGATCACGAGGTCAGGAGATTGAGACCATCCTGGCGAACATGGTGAAACCCTGTCTCTACTAAAAATACAAAAAAATTAGCTGGGCGTGGTGGTGGGCACCTGTAGTCCCAGCTTCTATAGAGGCTGAGGCAGGAGAATGGCGTGAACCCGGGAGGCAGCGGAGCTTGCAATGAGCAGAGATTGTGCCACTGTACTCTGGCCTGGGCGACAGAGCAAGACTCCGTCTCCAAAACAAAACAAAAACAATAACCTGTTGGGTGTATGTTTGGTTATATGCACAGTGGAATTATCTAGTGAAGGTGCAGATGGTTATATGCCTAGGTGTTAGCATTGGAGTGGATCAAAAATGGAATGCTATATGCATGGATCTTTAGATTGATGAATACAAGTACGGCTATCTAAAATCTTGGATAAATGTAGGGATCAGGGTACAAATACATTGGTTGCATGGGTGATAGCTGCATGTTTTATAGCTTTGGAGTGGCTTAATGGACAGTGGCTTGATTCACAAGGTGATGGTACAGGAATTTGATGACTATGAGAATGGGCTGATGGAATAATAAAGTCATATGTAAAGTTGACGGGAGAGATGGACGTTTGAAAGACAATGGTATATTTTCATGGACAAATTCATTATGAAATTATGAAAGTTTTGTTTTTGCATTCTCAACATGTGTTAGTAAATAAGCAAAAACTAACCACAGTGGGTTCACAAATTAATCAAAATGATCTTTCAATATTTTAATAATTTACAGACTCTAGGAGGTTGAGGAATGAGAGAACTTCACCTTCTGTATATTAACCGGTCATATGTCACAATTTTCCCATATTTTTCACAGTTATAGCTGAGGTGGTACCAGTTTAAGAAGTGAGAACTTCTTCACTGACTGATATTTGCATATAATTCCAAATCATTGTGCTTATTTACTATTTTTGTAGACGTCATTCTTCAAAAGTGCTGGTAAGAATCAGAAACCCTGGTGTACTGTTTATATTTGACCAATTTGATATTGAATCTAATTTGTGATATTTTACAATCCAAAACCATACATGAATTCTATAAAACACAAGATTGTGAATTTGTGGAGTGATTATCAGTTAGGTGAAATGAAAGAGATAAAAGGGCTCCCTAAATTGTGACACGGTTTTGATAAGTAGTTTATGCAGGTTTTGATTTACCACTCTTACCTACTCTCACCATAGTATATGATGTTATCTGGACTGAGACTGTAACTTTTTATCTGTATACTCCGTAAATTTTATATTATTTAAGTAAATTTTACTGAATGAATGCTTTGGAATAAATTCATCAGCTAGAGGGAGATAAGAAAGAAATCTGGCAGCCTGTGGAAAATAAACAAAATGGATAGGATATTAAAAGTCATCAGAGAGCAAAGTCATTAGGAATTAGAATTTACTGTAAATAGTATGGGTTATAATGAGAGCAGCAGGTTCAATTTTAGTTCCAATTGCATGATTTAGGATATCATCAGTAAGTAGGTAAGGTGAGCAGATAGAAGATGAGGAATATTTCAACACTGAAGTGGTAAAAATAGGGTCTTAACACCCTTTCATTTGATGAGTGAATGAAAAAAATCTTCAAATATTTTCCAACATTCCTGTTTTTTTTTTTTCCCACAAGCATCTTTCATAGTCAAGGAGGACAAAGACATCTTTCCTGCAGGTAAAATCATTAAGGACTATATTCTGATTTTGAAGCTGTTCTATTTGCTATGTTGATGATACATTAGATTCTTATTTGAGTTATTTGAAATTAAATTTCTTTTCTCATACATCCTATTTTGTGGTTATGTGATTATTTTGAGTTGATATTTTAATCAAGGACTTTATAGTTAACGTTTGTTAATAACCAACATTTAAGCAAATCAGACATTTTATTGACTTTAGTACTACTAGAAGTTGCGCAAGAAGCATACAGGGTAGCAAGGAGAATTGATGGGTGGATACTGGGTTTTAGTTTGTGGAAAGATCTTAATGGAATACTGTGGAATACACAGAGTATCTTATTTAGTATTTCCTTATATTGTGTCTTTTAAAAAAATTCCTAACCCCTGAACTGGTGTATAAGTTAGAATGAAGAAACTACACAAGAAATGCTGGTTCAAAGAATAAATAAGTGGTTGGTTGGCATGAAATAATTTGGAATAGAAGACAGGTATTCAAATCACAGAAAAAAATGTGTAGAGAAAGGAAGGAAAATGGTAGCTTTATCATTTGCATACAGTACGTGCACCTGGGTTTTGTAGGTTTTGGGTTATTTCACATCAGATTGTAGGAGTCTGGTTTTATGGAGTGTTACTTGACTTGAAGATGATGTATTTCTGTCACCAGGCATGGCTGTGTCAACCTGTTTTGTTTATTTCCATTTGCAGTCTCTTCTTCTGTACTCTCAGGTGGTGACCATGTGGATAATGGGATTATAGCCAAATGGTGGTTTCATCTACAGCATCACCAAAATGCTGTTGTTATTGCTTCTTTCTGGGATCTTCTTGCATCTTTGCTTCTCAAGGGGCACAACTTTTATAGAAGTATGTCCAGGAATAGAAGTGACCTGCTTTTTGGCAAGTAATTGCCTGGAATGTTTTTATGTACTTCTCTGCACTCTCAATACATTTCATGCTTCTCTCTATTTTTGTGTATTAACTCATTGTATTTCTTAAATTTATATTTTACTTTTCGAATGGAAGTGAGATTTGTGTATGGTAAATATAATTAATTCAACCCCATGGACACGCTAGTCACTCTCCAGATTATGGCAAGTCTTTCTTAGAAGCAGAGGGCCTTGGTGTGCCAGTGATTTGTTTTTCCCCCATGTGTAAGATACTTTTTTTCCTCATTTGAATCAGGAGCCCACAGTTTTTGGACAAGTCTCAAATGAAATCTTAAGCATTTGTGTTGTCTGGACTAGACCTTCTGTAGTATCCTTTTTGTTAGACCTAGTATATTTCATTCCAGATCAGGATCTGAGAGTGACTATAATTCACCTCTTTCCAAGTACACAAACTTGGATGACATGACAACTGAGTGTGTAAGGGAGAGCGAGACCCTTGCACTGCCATTTTGAGCCATTGTGATCTCATCTTGTAGAACATGTTGTATAATCATGTTCTTGGTATCACTAGTGTTCTTTGGGGCTGGAATAAAAATCTTAGTGTACCAAAGAGATTTCCCCTTTATCTATGTAACCTTGGTTTTCCTTTATTTTCTGTTTAACCTAAGTGGGCTTAATACAAAATAGTGTTTACTTGGTGTTTTAATTGTCTACTTCTGTAACATAAGCTGCACTGTCCACTGGGGAACTGCTTACCGTATTGCCCAACCTGTCTAGATAGGTTTATACAGGGGAGGCATTCAGTAATATTAACTCTCTAGACCAGTGTTAGCAATAACAAACAATTGCTGGAATTTTAAGACTATATTATCAATCCCTTTGATGTCAGTTAATCCTACCAACACAAGATTTAATGGTTTAAAAATCTTATGAATGTATACAGCCATTAGTGTCTCCTTATATTATTTTGTTCATTGGCAGCTAGATTTTGAGGTAGTTTTACCTGGACAGAAGATGCTCTTGTACTTCCAAAGTTAATTTATCTCATACTATTTCTTGTGTTAATATTTTCCAAGTTGAGGATGCTGTCTGGATATAAGAAGATGAGTGTCCTAATCACACACCTTTACATTATATGAAACATGATACAGAGTTTTGTAGTCTGTATAACAATATACAGAGGTCAGCAAAATTTGTAAAAGAACAGACTGCATAGGCCATACTGTTGTAACTACTCAACATTGCCATTATATGTGAAATCAGCTATAACCAATTCATAAACAAATGAATATGGCCGTGTTCTAGTAAAACTTACTAACAAAAACATGTTAGTCCAGATTTGGACCACAGGCTGTAGTTTTCTGACCTCTGGCTTACAGCAGAAGTTTATTTGGATACACGGAAAGCAGAAGCGAGAAAATGTATTCCATCCCGTGTCATTTTTCTGAATCCTCAACATGGGAATTTAAAGTAAAACATGGGGCAGAATCTGCTTTAAGCCTTTGAATTCTTGGCTCTTAAAACCAGGTTGAGGGTTGTGTGTTTTTATTCTTTTGTATCTCCTTTTCACTTAGGCTTGGCACCTAGTTCATTGAAACAGAGCCAACAAGAATGAGTGAGTCACTCAGTGATAAGAAGCAACCTGTGGCCATTTATCTACTATCTTCCATTCCTACTTCCTAGACTTGATAAGTAGTATTTGTAGTATAGTTGTCAGTAACTTTTTGAGCTTATATAAGTTTATGTGGAATTCATTTACAAATGTGTGATTATTATGATAGATGTTATTTTGTAAATTTCAAGGTTCTTTAATGTGGCATGGACATGTTTCCAAATCAATAAATATAGCTTACCCACAGACTTTATGGGATGTAAAGTATGTATTACAATGGGTGAATCCATTTCTCTGTTTTGGGAAAGCAGGTTCATTTTTTTTTGTTTTGTTGCTACATATAATGTTGACTATATGTATATTCTAATGCAGTTGGTCTCCTAATTCTACAGGATAGATGTCTAGCTGTTGCATTGTTGGATCATCAGTTTCGTTTTAGTTAGATGCTATGAAATTGCTCTTGAAAATGGTGTCTTCTGCCACCACAGAACGGTGTTGTTATGAAAGTGCCAATTTTCATAAAAACTTGTGCACAATGGGTATTAAGAATTTTTTAGGTCGGGCACAGTAGCTCAAGCCTGTAATCTCAGCACTTTGGGAGGCCTAGGCAGGTGGATCACCTGAGAACAGGAGTTCCAGACCAGCCTGACCAACGTGGTGAAATCCCATCTCTACTAAATACAAAAACTTAGCTGGGTGTGGTGGCATACACCTGTAATCCCAGCTACTTGGGAGGCTGAGACAGGAGAATCGCTTGAACCCAGGAGGCGGAGGTTGCAGTGAGCTGAGATTGCACTACTGCACTCCAGCCTGGGTGACAAGAGCGAAACTCCATCTCAAAAAAAAAAAAATTTCTTTAAATTTGTAACCAATCTAATAGGTGAAAATGGCATTTTTTAACATAAGTCTAACTTAAACAATTAATGGCCATGGGTAAAAGAAGAATCAAATAATGCATGGTTTATCAGATAAGGCAGTACTCAATTTTTCCTCTACTCCCCCCAAAAATCCTGTTTATCTGAGTTAGAAATGATTAATATTAGTGCCGCCTGGAAGTTTATAAACTCCCTAAGTATACCTCATACCAGCGTTTTTCTGACTTTCTATTTTTGAAATAATTTTAGATTCAGAATCACAAGACTCACAGAGCAACCTGATTTACGCTTCACCCAGATTGACTTTTTATTCTGCATCGTTGTGTTCTCCCCTCACTTCCTCTTCTTGCTGTCTCCTCCCTTCATGTGTTTATACATAGTGTTACCATTTTATGTATTATTGGTGAATGATTTACCGACATTATCTTCCTGTAAACCAAAACACTTCAACATTTACTTTCCAAGAGCCTGAGCATGTTATATTGACTTTAGTACAAATTTCAAAATCATGAAATGTGTCAGTAGTATAAAAGTATAACAGCATACAGTCTATATTCACATTTTACCCATTTTTCCAGAGGTGTTCTTTATAGCAGTTTCTTCACTTCTACAACATCCAGAAAAGGATCTTCAGTTGCATTCAGTTGTCATGTCTCTTTAGTCTTGTTTAATCTAAAACAGTTTCCTGGACTTTGATCACATCAGTATTTTTAAGAAGTAATAGCTAACAGTTTTTAAGGAGATACCTCAGATTTTGAATTTTTTGTTTCCTCATGAAAAGGCTTAAGATACTCATTTTGAGCAGAAATACTTCAGTATTCTCAGTCTTCCTCAGTGAATCATATCAGGTGACAAACAATGTCACTTTTTCTCACTTTGAACTACTTTGGTCTCTTGGTTCAATTGGTGTCCACTGAACTTTTCCACTTTAGTTAACATTCCTTTGTAATTAATTTGGAACTATACAGGTATTCTGTTTTTCATCAAACTTTCACCTAGTAGGTTTAACATACATAGGTGACTTTTACCTGAGTCAGTGATGATTAGAAAAAAGTCTGTGTTGGCCGGGCCTGGTGACTCACACCTGTAATACCAACACTTTGGGAGGCCGAGGCAGGCAGATCATGAGGTCAGGAGATCGAGACCATCCTGGCTAACACGGTGAAACCCCGTCTCTACTAAAAATACAAAAAATTAGCCGGGTGTGGTGGCGGTGCCTGTAGTCCCAGCTACTCGGAAGGCTGAGGCAGGAGAATGGCGTGAACCTGGGAGGCGGAGCTTGCAGTGAGCCGAGATGGTGCCACTGCACTCCAGCCTGGGTGACAGAGCAAGACTCCGTCTCAAAAAGAAAAAAAAAAAGAAAAATCTGTGTTACTGCTTATATGCATTATTTAGTGTCTTGTACTGTAAGGAAGAGTTTGTATATCATGGCCTGTCAGAACAGTCCAGCAATGTCTTTTATCAACTGGAAATTCTGAAAGAATGAATAAGGTGGTGATTTATGTGAGAATATAGGGAAAGGGTTACCCAAAGAGTCTAATGAATTTATGTCTAAACCATGGAGTGGAATGTGAGGGGCACATAGAACCCCAGAGTTGTGATTCTAATACATTGCATGGTGGAAGGAGAAGAAGTTGTTTTTGGTAAGTGTTTCATGTAACGTATCTGTGTAATGTGTGTGTGCCTTCGTTATTGGGAGAGTGTTCAACAGTTCACAGTGGAATAGACTGTGAAGCATTATGCTGGAATCTGGGTTCAGATTCTAGATCTGTATCCTACATATCACCAGTGTTTGTTTATCAATTTTTGCTTGTCATTACTTTAAGTTTATTTAACCCATTAGAGTATCCAAGGTTGGCAGTGAAGGGACTGCATTTGGGAGCTATCTGAAGACAAAAACTCAGCTTTTTGAAGTTTCTTTCATGTGTCACCTTACATGGCCCCTCCCATTCTCTGTGGAGAAGTTTGTGTACATTATTCAGACTACTGTGCAGTGACTGTGTTGTTTAAAACCTATACATAGCCAAACTCTGTTCTGTGTTCTCTGTAACTAGGGCATTAGTCTCCCAGTAGTAATCCTGCATCTTATGCTAGTTAAAGAAGGTTCCCAGAATAAAGACATTCTTACTTTTGAACAATGACTTGGATAGATTGAGGAAGTGGTTTTAATAATCACTTTGATATATTTCAAAATCTGGTTCATTATTGGTGAGGTGCAGGCCACCTGGTATTAATGGAAATGTGTAATTTGAAACCAGTGCAGTGGAATCAGAGGCCTGAACATGACCTAAGTCTTGGTCAAAAGTGGTCGTCTGAATGTTCCCTGCTCTCTGTATGTAACTTTGTACTTAGTCTTCAGTGGCAGGATTGCAGCAGAGGCCCAGTAAATATTGTTCATTCGATGTATGAAGAAAACGGAAGTAAGGCCAAAAATTACTGATTGTAAACAAATGAAGCACCAAGTGAATAAATGTACAAATAGACAAATAGCCAGCAGGAAAAACAACAACAACAACAACTTGTTACCTAAAGAATGGAAACCAAATGGAAAAGGCCACCAGGGACCTAAGCTACTGTTACCGTTTTAATATGCATATTGTTGCTTTCACATATAATACGGTAAGGGAGTATCAGAAAACCTGAATCTGCCTGACTAAAACATACCTTGTTCCACAAAGCTATATATATGAGAATATTTAAGGTGGTTTAATACCGAATTCATAAATTCAGCCTCAGTGTAGCAAACTTCTAAAGCTTCCATGATGTGAGGGAAGTTTTAACAAACAATGGAAATCACAGCACTAAAGTACATTACTATTATGTGATTCTCTGATGGTAATAGAAACTGTGCTGCAGGACACGTTTTGATTTGGGGAGAAATGTAGAGTAACTCCACAGAGGAATTCATCCTCTCTAATTTTAAATCTGAATGGAACCCACATGCCCATACCCTGGAGATGCATGTAAGCGAACAACATGGCTTACTCTGTTAAAAATAGAAAAGAACCTTCAATTAATCATCCTGTGAACTTGATAAGAGGATGCAGAGGAACGTAAATGCCTCTCTGTATATCTGTGATTGACCTTGGAACACAGTGAGTGCCCTCTAAAGAGTAGCCCAATAAGTACTGTATCATTCCACCAATCAAATTAGATCCTCTTGCTTCCAGTGGGAAGAGAGTGACACAGACCAAGGAAAGCCGAGGAGAAGATTGTAGCCTTTTATTTCTCCTTGCATTTGTTGAGGTTCACTGCTCACTGATAAACGATTTGCACAAAAAAATTCAGACCTCTGACTCTTCTGGTATTTGATTTATCTAGTAAAGTTAATTCCAAGACAAAAGTGTACAGTTGGTTAAAAATATCAGTCTCATGTTTATTTGATGGTTTGAAATATTCTTTCCTACATTGTTGTACCTCGTTTGTCACCTTGGAATAAATGACAATCATGTTGATTTTTCCACAAGATAATTTGATTCTAAAATTCATTTATCTTCAGGAATTAGAGATTCTAAAAATGTCATCTCTCGTGTCTCATTTAGTCATTTCCAAGATTTAGTGGGTGTTCTCCCTAAATGCCTTGAACAAGAATGCCTTGTTCAATGGCTGTATTTTACTCATAATTAACATGCCAACTGCTTTGGGTTTTTTTTAGGTTTACAAATTTCTTTTCTGCAGTACTTAACTTTCTATATTTTTATATATTAAAACAAGTTAGGTAGGATAAAGATCACTGTGGATGGTATAAATACTAATAGCAAAACTAGAAGTAAGAAGTTGTATTTACATAAGTTGTACATAGGTGTTACATTAGGTTGTCTTACATGAAAGTATTATGAAGTACTAGGATTTGGGGTGTATTTTGAAATCCTTGCCAGTCCTACATGATAAAGCATTGAATGGTACCATATGAGAGGAGAAGAGGACTGAAACAGGACTCCTTATGATTTAGACCTCAACAACTACTAGGGAGGGTTGGTTTTTCTTTGAGTGCATGATTTTTAAAAAGACTATTTTGCCAGTTTTAGTTCCATATTAAACCCACAGATTAAGATTTTGGTTTTGAAAGTGTAAATAGGAAGCTTGAGTTGGGGGGTATTTGGAGATAGAGATAATACGTAATGGCTGTGGGAAAGGATGAGATCTAGAGATAGAGTGTATGTGGGAGTAGGAACATATGTGCCTGAGACCATGCTTTGGATGCTCTGGCATTTAGATATTGACAAAATGAGGAAGACCCATTAAAGGAGATTGCGGCTAGAGTTACTAGGTAAAAACCAAAGGGTTGTAGTGTTCCTGAAGATACATGAAGAGTGAGATTAAAAATTAATGAGGCGGCAGTGACTTTTGCATGGCAGTGAAAGACAGTTCAATTTGAAAATTGAGTATCATTGATCTTAGTGCTCTTATTATTGAAAAGGTCAAATTAAAGAATACCTTTGAGTTGATGGTCTGTACTATAATTAGGTTACCATTGTTAGCCCAGCATAGACACATGCTGATACCTGTGAGTTGCTCTCATCAATTACTATGTGAAGATGCATCCCAGTTGTACAATTTTAGATCCTCTTCATTCCACGTTATATGTATACAAGATAAAACTTGATGTTTTCATTATATCCTTTCAATCTTCTAACAGCAATCCTTATGTAGCTTTATCATTAGAGTTCCCACTTGCAGTGTCTCTTTCTGTACCTGCATTCATCGGCCACAGTAGAGTTTTCATTAAGGCAGGATTGCATTTCATTGATTTTGGCTTCTGTCACACATTTAGCAAAGATTGTTGAAGGAAAGGAATGGATGAGGGGCCAGCTGAAAGAAAAAGTATCAACCTAATGATGGATAAGTGAAAAAGGGATGAAGAAAGGATGGTGCTAGGAATTGAGGGAGTAAAGCAAGATAGAATGTACAAAAGGTAGAATTTTTAAAGAAAGTTGTAGGACAAGGGTAAGGTGTGTTGAACCTACATTTAAAATACAATAACATCACTAAAGTTGAGGCCGGGTGCAATGGCTCACCCCTGTAATCCCAGCACTTTGGGAGGCCAAGGGGGGCGGATCACCTCAGGTCAGAAGTTTGAGATCATCCTGGCCAACATGGTGAAACCCCATCTCTACTAAAAATACAAAAATTAGCCAGGCATGGTGGTGGGCGCCTGTCATCCCAGTTACTCAGGAGGCTGAGGCAGGAGAATGGTGTGAACCCGGGGCTGGGAGGTTGCAGTGAGCCAAGATCATGTCACTGCTCTCCAGCCTGGGCGACAAGAACGAAACTGTGTCTCAAAAAAACAAAACCAAACCAAACAAACAAAAAAAACCATCAGTAAAGTCAGGGAGAGAGTACCACTGTGGAAGATGTTCTTTTCCAGCTTAATCTGAAGAAGGTATTGACCATATGGTCAATTGTACAGTCATTGTACATTGTCATTCCCTAACTAGATATGGGTTAGATACGAGTCTGTAGAAGATTGTCCAACATACTTTCCGCCTCTTAACATTTCACTTAACGAATTTCATTTCATTTCTTCATTTTGTGTCTAACAGACTAGAAATAATGAGCTCCTATTGACAGGGATATTTTCCTCTTCCTTTACCTTACAGAGCCTTTTATGTAGCAGATATTTAATGTAATAATAGGTCTAAACTAATTTAGACCATGGATGAGTGAAATTTTGATGAATGAGCCCCAATCACCTGAAGGGTGAGTAAAAAGAATTTCTAGAGACCCAATATGAGGTAGCTGCTTCACACTTTTTTGAGAATATTATGGCATGACTGAGGAAATCACAAGTTCTGTAGACTATGTTGAGTTGGATTGTGTAAATATAGATTCTGGTATTAGGGAACTCAGCATCTGCTAGATTAGACTTTTTATGGTCAAAGTGTTTTTTAGGGGTTAGGCATAAATCCCTACTGATATTTGTGGAGTAATAGAATATAGCTCCTGTTTTCTTTCCTGCTTGTATAGCCTGTGCCATTAGTGTCCTCTTTTTCACTGTTTTCTCAAAGGAAGACGGTCAAAGAGGAAGCCGTATGCATGGTAGACTTTGTAATCTGGGAAAAGTCAACATATGTCATCGTAGTGCTCTTTTTATGTGTTGTCAGTCCTTAGAAAGGATTCATGTTTTCCATGTTATATACTACTCTATTTTTAAAATTTCTTAGGGAGAATGGCTGTAACAGGCCAATGATAGAATCGTAGATTATAGTCACTGTCTGATGACTTTCCATCACGAGAGGGAACGATACAGGACAATCTATGTAGCTGACTTCAGTGTGACCACTCAGTGTTTCTGTAACACAGTATTTATATTGCTGTACAATAGAGTTACATTTATTTCTGTGATCCAGTTCATTTGTTTAATATTGGGATTCAAGGAGTGTTGAAGAAATGTCTACTGATTAATAACAGATGGGAAGAGTATATGTGTTTTAAATAAGAGACCAAGAGAAACAATAAGGAAAATAAGAAGAAAGTGTTTGTGAGCTTTTCACATTGCTCTTACATTTGGAAAGTGCACAAGACATCATAGTGGAGATTTCTGAGGAGGTGAAAACCTGTAGAAAAATGCTTTATCAGTAAAGAGCTGTCCAAGTTGTTAGAAAGTTGATTTCTAGAAGGATATTGAGACATTAGGTATATAGGGGATGTGCCTCCTTGTCTTGCTTTCATTCTGGCTTCTTACCAGCTATTGTGAATAAGTTTAAGATTTCTTCTGACATTATAAACTTTGGAAAAGGTATTGCTGTTTGTTCAATTTGAAGTAGTATCATATCCGTCAAGGCTTTGTTAAACTGTCTTGTTGATTCATGGTTCTCTTCAGTGATAACATTATCATTATATGGGATTCCTACCCACAGCCACCGAATATCTCAGTGAAGAAGTGCAGGTTTGGAGAGAACATCTGAATAGATTCATGCTAAGATGGCACATTTGCACTGACACCATTGTTATATGGCAGGCAGACATGAAGTATCCTAGGATTGATCAGTATGCCGTAATGTAAATAGCTGCATATAGACCTGATTTCTTAGGCTCCCCACTTTAAGCTCTTGAATGTTGTGTTGATATCCTTATCAATACACTTTGTCTTGTGTTCTGTGTTGTTTTCCCAGAATAAATATAACGAGCTCCTCCTTGACAGGGATTTTTTCTTTCTATTGTCTTGTGACAAAATGTCAAGATAAAAATGTAAGAGTTTCATTAAAGTTTGTTGAATAAAATTTGTGATGGAATGAGTGAGAGAGAGGTCATGAATGAGAGAGAATATAGAAATAATGGAGAATGTGATACTCCGATAGTCATGCAATATTCTTTTTGATTTATTATGTAACATATATTACTATGTTATATCTATTGTATTATTTGTCATATATATTACTATATCCTGTTGTTGTATTTGGGTAATTTGGCAATCTGCCATGTTCGATGGTGTTAAAAAGAGAAGATAAAATGTAGTGATTTCTTAATAAGATATAGAGGTATAAGTATTAACTCTTTAAGAATATAGTGATTTATTTTAAAATGATAGGAAAGGACCATAAAAATGTCTGAATTTGGGAAATTTGAAAAGGTTTTCTCTCTGGGGCTTTCATATGTCTGTTCTATGTGAATGTTGTGTAATTCTCGCTTTGCCACAGCTCCCTCTTTGCTAACCCTTGTTAACCCATGCAGAGAAGGAAGTGGACTGATGACATTTTGAGTCCGTCTTCAGGTTTATTGGGAATGCAAGGGAAATGAGTTGTAACCAATGGGAGTAAAGGGCTAGTTGCTATGCCAGTTGCCTCGACTTGTTTGACACTGCTTGAGCAATCGGAATGGCTAGTTTTGAATCTGGCTTCTCAGTCAGAATTTTACCTTCACTCTAACACTACTTTTTTTCACATCACTTATATTTCCATAAATATGAACCAACTTCAGTGATCTTCATTTTTTTCCTGAAGATTCAAATTTCTTTCCATCTGCCTGAAGAACTTTCTTTAGCACTTCTGGTATAGCAGGCCTATTGATGATAATTTTTCTTTTAGTATATGGTGATTATTTTATATTTAACTGTCTTTTTTGAAGTCTTCTTCATTTAAATATGTTGTTACTAAACATAGAATTAGTGGGTTTTTTAAAGCACTTTCAAAGATAATCCACTGTTTTCTGGACTCCGTTAATATTTAAATCTTTATTTTTGTGTAATTCTTTCTCTTCATATAAATGTACCATTTTTCTCTGACTCCTAAGATATTTTTTACTTAAGTATTGAGTCAGTTTTGGTTATGATGTGACTCTGTGTTTTTCTTTATATTGTTTGGTTGTTTGAACTTCTTTAATCTGTTAATATTGTGTTTTATGTTAAATTTGGGGGGATTTCAGCCATTTAAAATACAACTTTTCAGTCTCTTCCCCCGGGACTCTAATTTTTACATATATATTTGTATTACATCTATTAATATTGTTCTATGGATACCTGACATTATTTTTAAATCTTATTTTTGGTGTTTTTCACTTTGAACAACCTAATAATTTGTTTCCATCCATGTTCACTAACTTTATTCTTTTTTTTTTCCAATCTGCTCTTAAGCCCATCCTGTAAATTTTCTTTTTAATTTATTTTATTTTTTAGTTCCAGATATTTACTGCTTTTGCTTTGTTTTTGAGACAGAATCTTTCTCTGTCACACAGGATGGAGTGCAGTGGCATGGTTCACTGCAGCCTTGACCTCCTGGTCTCAAGTGATCCTCTCACCTTAACCTACCCACTCCTTAGCTAGAACTACAGGTGCATGCCACCACACTCAGCTAGTTCTTTGTTTTTGTAGCGATAGGGTCATTGTGGTGCCCAAGCTGGTCTTGAACTCCCCGGCTCAAGCATTCTTCCTGCCTTGTCCTCATGCCCCGGTCAACCAGTTCTTTATTTTTAATATTATGTTGTATTTGATGTGCTATCCTATTCATTTAGTATAAGCACATTTTTCTTTATGTCTTCAGCATAATTATATGCTTTTTCAGAATTTTAACATCAGGACTGCTTCCAGGTTAGCTTTAGTGTCCTTTGTCTTAAGTATGGGTTATAGTTTTCTTTCTTTGTATGTCAAGTAATTTTGGATTGTAACTTGAACTTTGAGTATATTTTAGAAACTCTGAATTCTATTTTATTTTTCTAAAACAGTATTTATCAGCTTCAGCACTATTGACATTTTGAACTGAGTTATTTTGTTTGTGTTGTTGTTGTGTGTATTCTGGGAGGGTACTGTTCTGTATGCATTGTGGGGTACTGAGTATTATCCTTTGTCTCCACTCAGTTCTTACCAGTAGCATAACTCTCTCTCCTCCCTGTGTCCCCTGCCAAAAAATGCCTTCAGTCCTTTCTAAGCGCTCTTTTTTATGGTGTTGGGGCCAAAATCACACATCCTTGCTCACTCTTTTTCATTGAGAGCTATGGCTATAAATGATAGTGATACTTTTACCTATTTATGTTTAAGACAAGCAGTTAACTTAGCTGGATTCAAACTCCAGGCTTTCTTGTGTGCTGTGGGAAGCAGCCTACACTCTATTCAGTTCTTTTCTTTTCATATTGATTGGGTTACTTGGAGTCTGGCCTACTTGATGGGCAATTTACTGGTCAACCAAAGATTTCCGCAGAACTTATACACAGAATTTCATTCAGGCTTCCCGTGTCTCATTCTCCACACTGTGGGAATTTCCTCCCACTTTCCAGCCACTATTGAGGATGCCTGTCGGCAAAATTCCTTGAAATTGGAAACTTTTACAGGGAAATTCCTTTCCTCCAAGAGTGCACTCTCCTCCAGTGTTGGCTTGCTTTTCATTGTTCTCCATGGTTTTAGATAGCTGTCTTTATATTCCTTCTGGAGTTTCCAGATGATACCTGTTGGGGGCTTAGCTTGATAACATGTATTCCTCTTATTACTAATAGCCAGACCTGCATGTCTTCCTTGACCTGATGCGGAAGAGTTTCATCTTACGAGACAATAATGTGCTAGCTAGTTTTACTGATTCGTACTCTAAAGTACCCAAGCCTAAAATAGTGGAGCTGTCTATCCCACATGAAACCTCTCTGATTTTCACTGTTTTTTTATAAAGAGTATACATGTTCAGATTTCTGTAGGATTTTTAAAGCATCACAGTTTTCATAAACTATATATATTTCCAAGGTCTACCTGCTTTGTATTTTGCCTGGCGAGAGTAGGAATAATCTCTTGGTATGAGTATCTATTTTCCACTCATCCAAAACAGATAGAGCATTGATTTCACCAAGCGTTATGTTCTAGTTTGTCTTGGTATTATTATTAGAAATACCTGGTGATTAATTTGAGCTAACTATTCTTCTCTACCCTCATTCCCAGCATTATCACCTGCTTTTACCACTTCCAAGGGGTGGAAACATTCTCCACAATGCATTTATTCATGCCAGAGAAAAATCTAGAAAAAAAGTGAATAAAACGAACAAATTCTTTCCCCTTAGTATCTGTAGCCAACTTGCCTAAGTGTTCTTTCCCACAGTTCAAGTCTTCAGTCTGTAGTTCATAAGTAAAGGGGTGCCATGAGCTCTGATCTTGCTGGAAGAGAGAATAAGTGAGCTACCCCATGGTAGACGTTTCTGGCCATCTGAAATGAGTCGATGAATGTGGCTTTTGTG